GAACACTGGACTGCTGTCAATTCCCAAAATTAGAACATTCTTTACCACCATACACAGAAAGGAACTCAAAATGGATTAGAGGCCTGAACACACGAGGGACAGGATAAAACTCTTAGAAGAGAGCGTAGGCGGAGCGCTCTGACATAAGTCATAGCAACACCTTTTTGGATGCATCCCCTTGTGACTCAGCTGGTCAAGAATCTGCCTGCAGTGAGGGAGACCTGGGTTCAGTCCTTGGGTTGGGGAGATTCCCCCGGAGAAGGGAAGAGAACCCCTTGGACGGTAGAGTCCACGGGGCCGCAGAGCCGGACACGGCTGAGCGACCTTGAGTTCACCTCTACAGTGACGAAAACAAAAGCAAAAGTAAACAAATGGGGCCTAATTAAACTTAAAAGCTTCTGCAAGCAAAGGAAACCATAAATAAAAAGATAGCCCCACAAAATGGGAGAAATTATTCACAAAGTAACCAACAAGGGATTGATTTCCAAAATATAAAACAGCTCAAGCAGCTCAGTATCAAAAACAAAGAAAACCCACAAACAACCCAATCAAAAATGGGCGGAAGATCTAAATAGACATTTCTCCAAAGAAAACAAGCAGATGGCCAAAAAGCACATGAAAAGATGCTCAACTTTACTAATTACCAGAGAAATTAAAATTAAATTAATTGCAAATTAAATTTTCAATTTTAATTTGCATTGCAAATTAAAACCGCAGTGAGGTATCACATCACACTGGTCAGAATGTCATCATTAAAAAGTCTAGAAGCAATGAATGCTAGAGAGGATTTGGAGAAAAGGGAACCCTCCTAGACTGTTGGTGGGAATAGAAATTGATTTAGCCACTATGGAGAACAGTATGCAGTTTCCTTAAAAAAAGAAAAAAAACTAACTAAAAATAGAGCTACCATACAATCCAGCAATCCCACTCCTGGACATATATTCAGAGAAAACCATAGTTCAAAAAAGATACATGCATGCCAGTGTTCAGTGCAGCACTATTTACAGTATCCAAGACATGGGCGCACCCTAAATGTCCACCAACAGAGGAGCAGATAAGGAAGACATGGTGTGTACACTCACACACACAATGGAACACTGCTCTGCCATAAACAAGAACGAAATCATGCCATTTGCAGCGACATTGATGGATCTAGAGATTATCATACCAAGTGAAGTCAGTCAGACAGAGACAAATATATGTCATCACTTATATGTGGAATCTAAAAATACGATACAAGGAGTGCATTTGAGTCAGTGCTAATGAGGTGGATCAACCTACAGCCTACTATACACAGTGAAGTAAGTCAGAAAGAGAAAAACAAATACCATATCTTAATCCACATACGTGGAATCCAGAAGGGTGGTCGTGATGAACCTATTTGCAGGCAGCAATGGAGACGCAGACACAGAGAACAGACTTATGGACACGGGAGCGGGGAGGGGGGAGGAGAGGGTGGGACAGACGGAGAGAGCGACGTGGAAACTTACACAACACCAGGTGGACACCAGGCAGCCGGGGGAATCTGCCGTGTGGCTCAGGGAACTCAAGCGGGGTGGCAGGTGGGAGGGAGGCTCAAGAGGGCGCGGACATACGTTACCTACGGCCGATCCATGTGGATGGATGGCGGAAACCAACACGGCATTGTAATCATCCTTCAATTAAAAATAAAAATTTTTTTAAAAGATGATACAAATGAGCTTATTTACAAAACAGAAAGACTCACATACTTAGAGAATAAAGTCATGGTGACCAGAGGGGAAGGTGGTGGGGAGGAATAAATTAGGAGGTTGGGATTAACATCACACACTGTGATATATGAAGTGGTTAATCAACAAGGACCTATGACATAACACAGGGAACTCTACTCAATATTCTATAACAACCTATGTGGGAAAAAATCGGAGAAAGAGAAGATATATGTGTATGTGTAACCGAACAGTCTTATCCACCTGAAACTAACACAACATTGCAAATCAATTACGAAAGAAAGTGTGAGTCCCTCGGTCCTGTCCGACTGCTTGCAACTCCATGGACTGCAGACCGGCAGGCTCCTCCGTCCATGGGCTTCTCCAGGCAAGAGTACTGGAGTGGGTTGTCATGCCCTTCCCCAGGGGATCTTCCTGACCCAGGGATCAAACCCAGGTCTCCCCAGTTGCAGGCAGAGTCTTTATCATCTGAGCCACTAGAGAAGCCCAAATCAGCTATGCTCCAACGTAAAATAAAAAATAAAGGCAATTACAAGCAAAACAATTTTCTTATTTTTTAATTAAAACATTAAAGAAAAAAAGCAAAGTGCATGAAATCGAGGCTCTCTTTTGGGGACTGAGCTAACTGGGATCCAGTCACTTGTTTCCTGTTTCTATATCCCTTTCAGAGTCTGGGCTAGGCCTCTAGCAACATGAGTTTTCAGGAGAACTTAGGAAAACAGGATCCCCGTCATCTAAATGGCCTGAGGCAGCCCTCCTCCTGGGGATCTGGCCTGTTTTATGTTTTAAAATCATGGACATCCTCCCATCCATCCACCCACCCACAGGCCTTTAACTAAGTCAGCCAAACAAACTAAAAGTAATCCAGGATTACAAGGGCCATTATGGGGAACTTTTAATCTTCCCAGAGTTGCTTTTCTTAAGATTAAATTGAAGGACTCGAAAATTAAATAACATGAATGGGGTATTTTTCTTCACTGGTATCTGGAGGCTTCCAAATGCGCACAAAACTCTAAAATGGCCTCTTTGCAAGATTCTGTTACTAAATTGGCCCAAATAACTGAAAAACTAGAAGAGAGGGCTTCCCTGGTGGCTCCGTGGTAAAGAACCTGCCTGCCAGTGCAGGAGACACGGGTTCGATCCCTGGTCCGGGAAGATCCCATGTGCCGAGGAGTGACAAGGCCCGAGGGCCACAAGGACTGAGCCCGTGCCCTGGAGCCGGGAGCCACGGCCCCTGAAGTCAGGACACCCTGGGCCCGCGCGCCGCAGCTGAGAGCAGCCCCACTCACCGCCACTAGAGGAAAGGCACGCCGCAGTGAAGACCCAGCACAGCCAGGAATAAATGCACACGTGTGTGCTCGCTTCGGCAGCACATATACTAAAATTGGAACGATACAGAGAAGATTAGCATGGCCCCTGCGCAAGGATGACACGCAAATTCGTGAAGCGTTCCATATTTTTAGGGGGAAACAGATCACCAGCCCAGGCTGGATGCATGAGACAGGTGCTCGGACCTGGTGCACTGGGAAGACCCAGAGGGATCGGGTGGAGAGGGAGGTGGGAGGGGGGATCGGGATGGGGAATACATGTAAATCCATGGCTGATTCATGTCAATGTATGACAAAAACCACTACAATATTGTAAAGTGATTAGCCTCCAACTAATAAAAATAAATGAAAAAAAAAAAAAGAGCAAAGCGGCGCTTGAACCCCCACGCTCCTTGTATCCCCTTCCCCCGACTTCTCTGTCCCGGGCACCACCCCGTGTGTCTTCCTCCCGCCCCAGACTCCACCAGGTGGCCACCAGCCCACCCCGACACCAACTTCCTGTCCCCCTCCACCCTGCACCCACTCTAGGAGAGTTCTTCACAAACCCCTCGACTCTAACCCACCGCCCTGAGCCCACCCTGCTCTCTGCCCTTCTGAATCCATTAGAACCTGCCATTTTAAGGTTAAACCATCTGAATTTCCAAATAAACCTCCGATTCTTCATATTTGCACTAAGACTGAATTGCAAGCTGTTGTTAGTTTGTTTTCTCTAAGGTTTTAAGGTCACGTTTACTGAAGTAGAATTTAGACTCAGTAAAACTCTCTGTGAAGTCTGACAAACTCGATCACCACCACAATCTCAGGGGCAAACAGCTCTGCAGTTCAGCTCAGCTCAGTCGCTCAGTGGCGTCCGACTCTTTGCGACCCCATGGACCACACCACCCAGGTCTCCCTGTCCATCACCATCTCCCGGAGCTTACTCAAACTCATGTGCATCGAGTCGGTGATGCCATCCAACCCTCTCATCCTCTGTCGAAGGGGACAAACCTAATCACCAAAATGATCTATTATAGAAAAAATTTGTGAGCATCACAACTGAAGTTTTTCAAAGGATTCTTGGAAACATTCAGTCTTTAGAATAGTCAAAAGAACGGGATTTAAAAATAACCTTTTTAAAGTAAAGCAGCTGACAAAGTTGTCTTAAAGATAGTTGTACAATAGCTAGTCTAGTTACTGTGTCGAGCTTCAGGCTGGGGTGGTTGGAAGAAAACCTATTTTAAATAATGGAATTGAATTCTAGAGAAATTCTCTAAAGGGTAGATATATGCTCTTACAATAAGTGGCACCTTCTCAAAAGCTCACCCCTACTGCCGCCATGAAAAGGACAAAGAAAGCAAAAGCCTCTGTTCTGTGGATATCAGGTGTCACATGTTCAATCCCACTTTATCTCCCTGAAAAGCTTCTTTCAAGCATCACCCTGAAGTCTGTCAGCCTCTTGAGCTGGACCGAGCTGAGCCACACGCTGTGGCCAAAAGTGCAAGCTGTGGCTCAGGATTTTCCAAAAGCACCAGAAGACCCCCCCACAGACTCGCTGATGAATTTAAGGGTGACATTCAGACCCCCTCGCTGGGCTTTTCAGATTTGTATCGGTTGATTCACGTGCTTGTGGGTGAAAGTCAGGCTCAGCGATGGGCCGAGAGCCTGTGCTCCACAAGAGAGAAGCCACCACAATGAGAAGCCCGCTCACCGCAACCAGAGAGGGCCCACACACAGCACCCAAGCCCCAGCACAGCCTAAAATAAATTAAAAATAAATACATAAATGTAGCAGTGCGTACAAACATAAAACAGATTTTTAAAATAAAAAATAGCAAGAATAACCACGTGGCGCACTCTTCGCACAGTGAAGTGGAAACTAATATTAGCGTCACGCCTACAACCTACAAATCCAGAAGGGCCTGTCCAGCCCTGCTGGAAGGGCCCCACCAGGTGCCGCTGACCAACTTCTGCGCCGTCCCCTCCAGGGAGGGGACTCCCGGATCCACGAGCTGCAGCTACAGAAGGCGCCGAGCCCCACGGGGACCTGCTCGCCGCCCAGCAGTCTGAAGGCAGGGCCCCGAGACCTGGAGCAGGGGGCGTCAGAGGCCGACACCTTTCCCAAGACGTCAGACGAGGGCTGAAGCCCGTGCTGCGCACACTGCCTCTCACCTATATCCTCCTCACCTCCACAGAGAGACGAGTTCCCTTCCACGTGGCCCAACCCCTTGCAAAAACCTGACTGCTAGATTAGCCGTCAGAAACCTCAGTCCGTCCAGGACACCAACGGCCCTCTGGTTCACCCTGTAAGTGACCTCACAGGAGTTTCAGATGCTGTGAGGACTCCAGGTTACCCCACAGGTCCATTTTATACATCCAGGGAGCTAAGCCCACCTAGACTTATTACTTGCTTCAATTTGACCCTGCCCTGAGATGGGAAAACAAGATCTTGACTATCTGACAAAAGTCAGATAAGTATTGCTCAGCCTCTGTGCCAGAATTCCACAGACAGGATCATTTGTGGGAGGGCTGGAGGATGTCCCCCGGTTACGCCTTCATAGGTGGGAGTGTGGGGATGCCCCTCACGCCTGGAAAACTTACTGCCTTGACCGCTGGAGAACACAGAGCACTGCGCCCTGCCGCGTCCTCTGCTCCCGGCAAAACCGAACAGGCCCCTTCACAGCACACTGCCTTGTCGTGCTGAAGGGGCTCGCGTAACTCAGTGAGGCTGTGAGCCATGCCTCTTTGGAAGGACTGATGCTGAAGCTGAAACTCCAGTGCTTGGCCACCTGATGCAAAGAACTGACTCATTGAAAAAGACCCTGATGCTGGGAAAGATTGAGGGCAGGAGGAGAAGGGGATGGCAGAGGATGAGATGGCTGGATGGCATCACTGACTCAATGGACATGAACTTGGGCAAACCCCGGGAAATGGTGAGGGACAGGGAAGCCTGGCGTGCTGCAACCCATGGGGTTGTGAAGAGTTGGACACAACTGAGCAACTGAACCACCACCACCAAAAAAGCCGCTCACCGGTCAATCCTATTAAGCCTCTGTAACCACCTTCTCAGGACTTCCAGGAGTTCTTCCAGGAGTTCTTCCAGCAACAGTCACTTCGTTCACCAGCCAAGGTGGTAGCACTATTTTGCAATAGCTGCATGTGCATAAGTGCCTCTGGGGAAGCAGGTACCCAATTGCATAAAATTAAAGAGTAGGCGCCCTGGTTACAGCAAATATCACCTGATAACCTGCGGTCTTTTCAGTTACAGTGAGTTCCCTGCGGCACAACGTGCAAGTTGCCAACATTCAAAGGTATCAGTGTGTATCTGATCCCAGCAAGGAGCTGGAACCTGTGCCGTCAACCTCAGGCGTCGCAGCCTGCTCGCCCGCCCCCGGCCCCTGTTGCAGGCGACCCTGCGGCTCCACCACCTCCCACCCCGTCCCCCCTCCAGGCGGTAGCTCCTCTTGGCTGCCCGCTGGCGGCCAGCCCTGTGCCAGCCGCTGGGCTGTGCTGCCCTGCTTCTCGGGGTACGGTCCCGTGAGGTCAGAAATGCCGTTCTTTCCTGTGTTTGCTACGTGTTACTTGTGTGACAAGTATTAGAAACCTGTTACAGGGCACTGCTATATAGCTGACTGTGCTGCGGGGTACCTAGGCTGGCCCCTCCCAACTCCCCGCCTTTTCCCTGTAAAAGCAAGTTCCCCTTCCTTATTCTCTGGATCTGCCTACGGTTCACCCTGGTTCACATATCCTGAAGAGCGATCTCTCTGCTCTTCCCAGACAAACTTGCTTCTGCCGGTGGAACAGCTGCCTATCGTACTGTTAAAGCTGACAAGCTACATCAGCTGTGTTCAAACAGCAATGCATTAATACAGCTGAGTCAGCTTTATTAAACTTCTCTTTACATTCTTTTACTTTTAACCTCCCTATATTTGTATTTATGTTTAAAGAGTGCTTTGTTAACAAAGAGTTAAGTCTTTGTTTCCTATCAAATCTGACAATCTCTCCCTTTTTCATTGGGGGTCTATTCCGCTTACATTTAAGTTTCCCATATGACTGAGTTTAAGTCTCTCACCTTGCTATCTGTTTTCCATGTGTCCCTTCGGATCCATCATTCCTCCTTTCCAGACTCCTCAAGCTTTTTTCCAGTGTTCCTTTTTATCTCCTCTATTGGATTTTTAAAAATTAATTAATTTATTTGTATATTGTCACCCTGCTTATTTAACTTATATACAAAGTACATCATGAGAAACACTGGGCTGGATGAAGCACAAGCTGGAATCAAGACTGCCAGGAGAAATGTCAATAACCTCAGATATGCAGATGACACCACCCTTATGGCAGAAAGTGAAGAAGAACTGAAGAGCCTCTTGATGAAAGTGAAAGAGGAGAGTGAAAAAGTTGGCTTACACCTCAACATTCAGAAAACTAAGATCATGGCATCTGGTCCCATCACTTCATGGCAAACAGATGGGGAAACAGAGACTTTATTTTGGGGGGCTCCAAAGTCACTACAGATGGTGACTGCAGCCATGAAATTAAAAGACGCTTGCTCCTTGGAAGAAAAGTTATGACCAACCTAGACAGCATATTTGAGCAACTTCATTTCACTTTTCACTTTCATGCATTGGAGGAGGAAATGGCAACCCACTCCAGTATTCTTGCCTGGAGAATCCCAAGGACGGGGGAGCCTGGTGGGCGGCCGTCTATGGGGTCGCACAGAGTCAGATACAACTGAAGCGACTTAGCAGCAGCAGCAGCAGCAGCAGCAGACAGCATATTAAAAAGCAGAGACCTTATTTTGTTAACAAAGGTTCATCTAGTCAAGGCTATGGTTTTTCCAGTAGTCATGTATGGATGTGAGAGTTGGACCATAAAGAAAGCTGAGTGCCGAAGAATTGATGCTTTTGAAGTGTGGCGTTGGAGAAGACTCTTGAGAGTCCCTTGGACTGCAAGGAGCTCCAACCAGTCCATCCTAAAGGAGATCAGTCCTGGGTGTTCATTGGAAGGACTGATGTTGAAGCTGAAACTCCAATACTCTGGCCACCTGATGCAAAGAGCTGACTCACTGGAAAAGACCCTGATGCTGGGAAAGATTGAAGGAGGGAGGAGAAGGGGATGACAGTGGATGAGATGGTTGGATGGCATCACCGACTCGATGGACATGAGTTTGAGCAAGCTCCGGGAGTTGGAGATGGACAGGGAGGCCTGGCGTGCTGCAGTCCATGGGGTTGCGGAGAGTCAGACATGACTGAGCGACTGAGCTGAGCTGAACTGAATTTATCTGACAGCCTCAGGTCTTTGCTGCAGCATGCAAGACTTCCGTTGCTGTCCGCGGGCTCCTCTCTAGTGGTGGCACGTGAACTCAGCTGTCCCACAGCTTGTGGGGTCTTAGTTCCCCAACCAGGGATCAAACTCACATCCCCCTCACTGGAAGGGGAATTCTTAACCCTGGACCACCAGGGAGGTGCCTCTTCTATTGGATTTTAGCTCTAACTCGGAGTGTTACACTGTCGTATCCACTCTAGAAATTAAAGCATGCATCCTTATTTCATCACGCTCCACCTAGGATATTTTAATTATACCTATGACATAAATCGTACCACATTCTTACTATTTGTCTTTAAATGGTCAGTAATTTTCCAATGTGTTTTTTAGACTCGTCTTTTATATGCATATGCCCATTTATTTTTCCAGTGGTTCTGATTCCTTCTTGAATAAATGGACTTCTAACTGGGGTCTTTTCTCTTCATCCTGGAGAACTTCGGTAATTCTTACAGTGCAGCCCTTCTGGCCAGAATTTATTTTAGCCTTTATTTTTGGAAAATGTCTTTATTTCACCTTCACTTTTGAAAGGCATTTGACTGGATTTAAAATTCTGCATCTTCTTTCTTTTGATGAACTCTTCAGATGCCATTCCCTTGCCGTGTCCTCCACCAGTTCTGGTGGAAAGCCATCATTCTTCTGTTGTTCCCCCATACAAACGTCATTTTACTGCTCCTCTGAACCCAGTTTCTTGATTTTCCTGCCTGCTTTCAAGACTCCTCCCCCACGTTCAGCTTCCATCACTCCCACTGGAATGTGCTCAGATGTGCCTTCTTCGCCTTTGTGATTTCTCAGAGTGCCCTGGCCTCTTGGGATCCCTGGGCTCACACGTTTCATCAGTTTCAGGAAAGAATTGCCCGTTATTTCTCCAAATGTTTCTCTTTTCTCCTTCTGGAAGTTCAACTGCACGCACATTAGATACTCTGATACAGTCCTACGGGTCCTCAGTCTTCTGTTCCCATGGCGTGATAGCTGTTCTTCATGAGGGTATTCAGGATATGTGAACTAGGCCTTTTGGGGTTTTAACTGAATGCCTAGAAGGGATGTTCACCAAGGTCTCTGGGTAGGTTGGCTGGGATTCCTCAGCACTGTTTGACCTCTGAAATCTCTGTTCCCTGGGAGCTGCTGTCTACTGGGCCTCGCAGTACCTTGCCCGACATGTGCCCAGTTGAGGGTCTGGCCAGGTACCTGGCAGGTACCTTCTCTGGCACTAAGGAATCCCCCTCCCGTCTGGTACCGACCCACGGATTGCAGTCATCTCGGCAGCCACGTTCTCCGCTCTGTGTCCTCTGCCCAGGAAGCTGGTCGTCTTCACTGGACTGGACTTCCCTGGGCTGAGTTTGCACACCACCCCCTCCAGCAAGAAGCCAAGAGAAACACGGAGGTCATCCTGAGGGCACCGCTTGGCCCGAGGGTCATGGCCCCAAACTACATTGCCGGGACTTCCCTGGCGGTCCAGGGGTTAAGACTCCGTGCTCCCAACACAGGGGGCCTGGGTTCGATCCCTGGTCAGGGAACTAAGACCCCACGTGCTGCAGCTGAGAGCCTGTGTGCCATCCCAAAGAGCCCATGTGCGCCACGAAGGCTCGGCACAGCCGGATAAATCAAAAAAAGCGAAGCACCATGTGCCGCCCGCTTCCCGCTGGGCCCGCCCTGAGCACAGGTCCCAGCCTCCCCATCTTTCCCCACAGCCAGTGACAGTCAGTCCCGTTCAGGCTGACATTTCATCCGACGCCCCTTCTCCTTTCATTCTGAGCCCTTCCCAGGACTCGAATTACAGGATGGCCTTTGTTTGGAGGAAAGCGATATTCAGTGAAAAGTCTCCAGAAAGGTCTCAAAATACGAACATTATATAACACGACAACAAAAGCAGGACAAAGTCTTCTAAACAGAGGAATGTGTCCTGTGGAGGCCTAACGC